GAAAGAGGAGGTTTTTCTGACATTTAACTCATGTAGACGGGTCAAATATCAGAAAAGTCTCTTCCGAATAAAGAATCAGAAAAAGATACGCAAATTGCAGCTTGCAATTTGCGTACCTTTTTCTGAAAAACCCCCCAGCAGTGTAGACATAGCCTCAGTGGCATATCTGTAATGATGTTTTCTCTCCCTTCAGTCACTGCAGCAACAGAGTGCATAATAAGCTATGTCCTGCAAATAACTACAGCTCACATTCTGCTTTGTTAGCTTCTTTTAGTGGAGACAGCTGGCCTGAAATAAAAGATGAGCTCTTCTTTCTGGAGTGGCATACATTTGATTGAGAGCAGCAAGTTGACCAAGAGAATCTCTTTGACTGGTGCATCTATTTTTAAAAGGTTCATGTTAACCTGTCTCAAGTTCAACTTTATGCAAGTTCAGAAAGCACTTGCATAGTTTTACAGTTTTAAGTAGTCACTGAATTAGTGGCTTTTCAAATTTTTCTCATAGAGGTCTACTGCTTCCGTTAAAGGAGTATTGAAGATACTGAATGTCAAAACATACTAGACCTAGTGGTGTTGGGTTTGCTTTTTTTAATTTAGTTAAATTCAATGGCTAGGTTTCGCAGAACCCTTTAATCCCTATTTCTTTGTCTAAAACTATGCTGATATGCTAGTTTATGCACATATATGTTTGGGAATCCCAACTAACAGAGAGGCTTAAATTGACCTGATTATTAATTACTTGCAAATTAGGTGTTTCTCAGCTATAATTAAAGTGATAGATGGCCCAAATTAAATAATTAGTGCACTGCTTTGTTTTTGTATGTACTTTTCATCCAACAATCTTGGTACTGTACTTCAAAAGATTAGGAAATATTGTGTGGAAAACTAATTGGAAGAAAAATTAGATGAATGTATATGTTTAACCTTACAAGTGTTCAGTGAAGATACCTTTGTACCTGTTCTGCCAACCTCTGTTCTGATAAAGGATAATAGAATAATATTAATGTTGGTTTGGAAAAATAAATAACTGTGACGATGCCCTTTATAACTGCTTTCTGTTCCTAAGCCATGCATAAACCATTAAGATAGGGTCTAGACCCTTTCAGCTTCCCTTCTCAGAATTCATTGCTAAAATGCAGTGGATTTTCTTAGCCCACGTCTGTTGTGGCCTCACGTTTGTACATCCATAAGAACTATCTATCTCAGCAGCAAATTTGCTTTTAAAAATGCTATTGCTTTTTAAAGTCTTTTAGTGTAAACTAAATTGATGCTCATTTAACTTCAGTACATAAAGGTGAACTATTCATTTGCCCCCTTCCCTATCCCTCTGGGCCTTTTATTCTCACTACAGGTTGAACCTTTGTGGTCCAGGACTCTCTGGTCCAGCAACATCCGTGGTCCTAATGGACCACGGATGTTGCTGGACCAGAGCACCCCAGTGCAGAGGATGTCAGTAGCTGGCAGCCTTCAGGGCCAATGGGTTGGGGTCAGGGAGCCTTTCTGGCTGGGGCACAGAACCCTGGAGCCCCCTGGCTGTGGAGGGTGGAGTTCCACTGATTGGAATGAGGCTCATGGAAGCCCCACCAGGTAGGAACACAGAGTTCTGTCAGCTATAGTGAGGCCCCACTGCCCAGGGGCAGGGAGCTCTGCTGGCCAGGGCTGATGGCAGGGAGCTCTGCCAATCGGGAGTGTGGAGCCCTGCCTGCCAGAGAGGCTGGTGGTCAGAGAGAAGCCCTGCCTGTCGGGAGCACGGAGCCTGGGTTGTGAAGTGAAGCCTTTTCCATTTGTTTGGAGTGTCATGGTTGTTCTTATTGTATAAGTATAAGGGTTATGGCAAGTACAAGATACACTGGAAAATACATCCAGTACTTCATTTTCTGCTCTTTGTCTAGGTGGAGGACATCTGATAAGTACATCTTCTTGGCGGGATGGACAAAAGCTAGTGAAAAAGATACTGGGTCCAGCACCTAAAGTAGAGCAACAGCATAGAAGGGCAACATCCAGTGACAGAACTGGGAGAGAGAGAGCTACTAAATCCCGTAAGCTATGCTGTATTTAATGCTATTTTTTTCTGTTGGGTTTAATTTTTTATATAACAACTTCGCAAACTTCTAAGATTTGAAGAAGCTCCTACTATATTAGGAAGATGCAGCTGTTAAGGTTGTACTTCAACTAACTTCATTACAAATCTGAATAAATTTTATGTACACCAGTGCATGTGCAAATGTGCACCACCAGTAGAAACAAAAAAAACCTAGCTGTGGGCACTCTGCTAATCAGCTGGGCAGTATTTGAATTTCTCTTTAACTGCCGCACAAGCATGCAACTTGTAATAATTTCTTTGCCTAATGTCTAGTTTCATTCTGAAACAAACTTTACAGCATATTTGTAAAGCTGTATGGGAGGGATTTAATTATAAACTGATAGTCCCTTAACTATAATTGTGCTAATGGGAACTATTAAATTATGTGCATTTTGGTAGCAGTGTCATGGCTACAACCTCTAACCTATCTGTTTGAATTACCACTAATATATATAAGAGCTTTAGAAATTGTTGGCTCTGCTTGGTACATTAAAATGTTTTGCAAATATTTCAGTGGTAGTTTCTACTTCTCAAATCTTAGCCTTATATATCAAACACATTTTAATATAGTGCTTTCAACATATAAAACAGGATGTTTTTTCTTTCGGATGGAACTGACAAGAGAATACTAGCTCATCTTCCTTTTTATGCTCTTCAAATATTGACTATTTTTATATGATTGGTTTGAAATAAAGAAAATCTGTCGTCCTCATCTCTTTTTTCCTATTCAGAATGTTTAGAGGTAGCATCTGACACTTTTTATTCTTTAGCAGGCCCTATTGGTAGGACTGGGTCAGATCCCAGGTTGGATGTTTCCCACAAAACATGTCCAAGAAGTTCTGAGTGGTCAAGGAGTAAAGTACATTCCGAGAGTAACCTGAAGAAAGTGGATTCTACTCTTCCAGATAGTAAACAAGATGAAGATCATACCTCTTTAAATAAGGACTTTCTGCCTGTGGAGATACAGGGAATTCTTGATGATCTGCAGTTGGACTCAGTAATTCAGAGTACAAAGCAAGAGAAAGATGGGGAAAGGCAAATTCAGAAATCTACAGTGCCTACACAAGGTGCCAGGAGCCACAGTCCAACAAAAAGAAAACCAGACAAGTTAGCTGCTAGTGAAGAGCCTCAAGTTATCTCCAAGAAGCGTCATTATGACACAGATGAGGTTCGCCAGTACATTATTAGACAGCAAGAAGAGAGGAAGAGGAGGCAGAATGAAGAGAAGAAGGCGCAGAAAGAGGCAGCGGAACGGAAGAACAAACGACTTCAAGAGCTTTATAAGAAACAGAAAGAGGCTTTTGCAAAGACAAAGAACATGCCAACTTCTGATCCCTCAGCAGCTAGGCGACTACAGGAAACATATTCTAAATTGTTGCTGGAACAAACTTTGCTAGAGGAAGTCTCTCAGTTTGCTACTTCACAGGAAATGCAGGTATGGCAGTTTCATCACTTCAGTATTTTAAAGATAGGCATAGAAATAGAGGGTAGAATACTTAGGAAGGTCCTGTATTGTCTTTATTAAGATTAAAAACAGCAGAATGTCTTTGCTTCAGCACGACACTCCGTCATGATGAATGGAAATTCAGTCTCTCCCAATTCTAACCAGCATCTGAGTTTAATGTTAGGGATGTAAGATCTTGTTTAATCAGTTAACTATTTACACAAAGGAACATACATTTAACTGGTTAAATGATTGATTGGGATCCTGTGGGCAGGGGGGCCTCTAGACCACCTGGGCCCACCATGGGTGGGGGCTGCTCTGGAGCACCCGGGCCCCCCCCCTGCCTGTGGCATGGCAGGCCTGGCCATCCCAAGGCGTGAGCAGGGGTGGCTCCTCCACCCCAAGGCATGAGCAGAGGACTGCTGCATCCTGGCTAGACCTGCTGCATTGTGGACTGCTCTGACCAGGCCAGGCCCATAATGAGCGGGAACCGCTCGGGCCAAACTGGGCCCACTGGGCCACTCTGAGTGTAGAGTTGCTGCAGCAACGTGGCATGGTGGGCCCCATCAGGCTGGGGCTGACTCCTTCCCACACCATAATGGATCCGGCCAGGGCTGAAGCAGACCTCCAGCCCAGATGGTCCACCAGTTAACTGGTAACCTTTACTGGGTGATGCTTACTGGTTAACTGGTGGCATCCCTATTTAATGTATTGATTAACAGATACAGTGATCGAAACTTAAGACTGCATATAATAAAACTTCAGACTGAATGAGGGACTTCGGTTCAGATTACTTTTGTCAGCGTTGTGACTATTGATGTCATTCAGCTCACTTCTATTTGAGACTTACTGTGAAACATGTCTGTTAGATGACAGGTCATCACTGTTAACTTTCTTGGTTCCTTTTTGGCTGGTTCAGTGTGAGAGTTAAGCTTGTTTCTCAGTCAGTTTTGTTGGGACAAAAATCTTGAATGCCCTCTTATTTTTTCTGTTTTTGCATGCTATTAAAACTTTAATGTTGAATTTTTTCTGGTCTCTGAATTGCAAGAAACTTAAGCTTCTCGTTTACTTTAAGAGCATCTGAAAAAGTTGCTGTTAGCATCTTCTCTTTATTTCTAGCCCATGCCTGGATATCAACCGTCTGGGGAATCTGACAAAGAAAACAAGGCACAGGAGCGTCCTCCTAGTGCATCTTCCAGTAGTGACATGTCCCTGTCAGAACCTCCACAGCCTCTTGTTAGGTAAGTTGGTATGAACATTTCAGTCAATGCCTTCTAGTTCTCCATAAAACACGGTACACTTCTAAAACAATTCCTGTTACAGTGATTAGTGATACAAAAGCATTTTATGGCAGTAGGAATATTTGAAGTGGTGTAATATATTTTTATTTTGAGGTTGTACATAAATTGATGCACAAAAAAATATTTTTTGTTACCAGTCTGCCTCTAAATAGCAGCATCTATAAATAGCATTTAAAATATAATTGACATCAGCTGCTCTTATTCTTCTATAGATATCTCAGAGAGATGTGCATTCTGCATCAGGGACTGGTCTTTCCTCTGTCATCATCCCTGTGCAAGAACAAGTAATCATATAATCATATCTGCCAGTTAGATTGTCATTGTCTCTTTGAATGACCTCACTGTTTTCTTCCCCACTTTCAGACTGAGGGTCAAACTTCTGCTTCTCACATTTAGGGCTCTACACAAGTCTGTGTTTGCATTTCTGGTCTCCAGCTTGCTCCTATTTTCCCCCTTCTGCTTCCTCCAAAATACTCAAATTATATCTGTCCATTTCCTTCATACATGGAATAATTTATCTTCCTTTGTATGTACTAAACTTGTTCATTTTCTGTGAAGCTTTTCAATAATCCTCTAAAGTCAGAAGCAGCATGGAGTGGAATCTTTGTGCAGTGTTTTAATGCTGAATGTTGTCTAGTCATTTGATATATTGTCTAATTTAGGTTGCAAGTCCTTCAGAGCATTGACTATCTTCCTCTTTTCTGGACTTTTAAACTAATGGATTCTGCTTAATAAATGTAATATTCAGGATGCACACTGAAACATGCAAAAGTGAGGAAATACTGTTAAGGCTACATGCACATCTTTAGCTCTATTCCCTAGTGCCGTGGTCACCAACCAGTAGATCGTGATCTACCGGTAGATCTCAGGGGCTCTAAGAGTAGCTCTTGAGCCCTCTCTGAACTGTGTACCTGCGCAGTACATTTACATTAGATTTTCTCATGTAATGTAGGCAGGGCTTCAAGGAAGGGGCGGGGCAGTAGATCTTTGCCTGTTCTGAGACTTAAAAAGTGATCTTGGGTGTAAAAAGGTTGGAGACCACTGCCCTAGTGCATATGCCCTATTATCTGGTCTTTAATTACATGATCACTTACTGTTTCTTAAATAATGTATGTATCTCATTATCCTGGTCAAATTAAAATTCATTTTTGCAGTGTAGCAATACTTGTCTCTTAGGCAAGAATTTTAACTAGTGGTAGGAAATTCAAGTGGTAATAGTTTAAATACTACACTGGTATTGCTGTATAATGCAATATTAATATACTACTGTAGTGGGCACCTTAACAGTACCTACGTGTGGAGGGCTAATAACAGGAGAGAATTAAGACTAGGATGGTTACATAATTTGTTTGGAGAGCCATGTAGTAAGTTGAAAAGCAGAATTTAGCTGGTGGTTTGTAAGGAAACCTGATACTCATACTATTGGCTAGTCAGATTAAAGAAGGACACTCTAAGACTTGATAACTGAAAGAGGTATTCTTTTGGAGAACCCTAGTTAGGGGAATCTTAGACATTTATAAGAAAAGGATTTTATTTTTATGTATACATTTGTGAATACGCTTCTATTCCACACTACATGTGTCTGGCCCTTGCCTGGAGTGTCAGTTGCTAAGGAGAGTTGGGACCATTGTCCCCTCTAAGTCAGCTCCATGCAGGGAGCCCTGAGCCTCTGACTGGGTGGGGCTGATTAGTCACCTGTGAAGCTGTGCTGCCTTGCAGCTTACAGGACACACTGGTTGGGAGGGAAATGTGAGTAAAACTGGAGAGGATTCTCTGGGCCTGGAAGATTTCATGAGACTGGAGTGGCAGGGGAAGTAAAGTGTCATCTGAATTGCATTCTGTACATTTCTGCAAAAAGCTCCTGCAAATTTCTGCAAAAAGAATATTCTCTAGTACAACATAATGCGATTTAAGAGAAGGTTTAGACTTTGTATGTATATGCTATATATTTTTTGTAAATACAGTAGAGAGCATTTTTATTTTTGGCTTTCCCAAAAGATTATTAGAGTTTGGTGTCTGAAAAACACCTTTGTTGCAAAGATGTATATGTTCATATGAGCTCTTAAAGTACTTCACAAATGTTGTTCTTGGTCACAAATTTCAGTCTTGTCTTTTGATTCTAGAAGTGATTTGATGGAGCCTACGTGGTTACAGCCAGATAGACTGAGCCCAAGAGTCCATCTCTCTCACCCACAGCCTCTTGCTGGGTCAACTGGAGGACTTTTTTCACAGCTTTTGAATCTGGAGCAGATGGGCTTTTTGCCAAATAACTTCGACTCAGTACTGTCAACCAGGAGGAGCCACAACACACCTGTGGGATCCCTGACTTTGCCACCTCAGCCTTATCTGACTTCATCTGCTGCACAGCAAGAGCTCTTAGTAAAACCTAGTATCAGCCAATATAAGAGTAAACTGGATCGTATTGAAGCCCTGAAAGCTACAGCTGCTTCTTTGTCTAGCAGAATTGAAAGTGAAGCCAAGAAGTTAGCTGGAGCTGGTATCAATTATGGCTCAGTATGGAATTCTGAGCATGAACTATTGCTGGGGAATCAGGATGATGGACACTGGGCTAAAGCTTTGAGTCCCCCTGTGAGAGAAGATAATGAAGATGTCTTCTCAGCCAGAATTCAGAAAATGCTGGGTACCTGTGTGTCCCATACAAGCTTTGATGATAACCTTCCTGGAGTGGGCAACCTTAGTGAATTTAAAAAGCTCCCTGAGACGATCAGTCCTCATACTGCTGCAGTCAGCCTTGGAATGAGATCTCCAGCCAGCCACAGGGCTGAAGGAATGCTAGGACATTTGTCGAAGAGGCAAACTGACTCCCCTGGGTCTGAAAATCAGGCTTACAGTCAAAACAAAGGCATAATTCCTCATGATTCCAGCACAGATTCACTCAGCGAAGGGCCTCTTCTAAGTGAGGGGAGTCTTTCGGAGGAGGAAGGTGGCCAGCATAGGCAGTCTCCTTTGAAAATTGCTGAGGTGTTAAAAGAAAAGGAGTTTTGTGTTGGGGAGAGAACTGCTTTTGAGCCTATAAAAGAGTTTCAGAAGGACGCAGAAAAATATTTACCACTCTTCACACAGACAAGTGGAACACAAAGCAAAGGACCATGGGAGGAATTAGCCAAGGGAAGTCCACATAGTGTCATCAACATATTTGCAAAATCTTACCAGCTACATGGGAAAGGTAAGGAAAAGAAATGGAAATATTACCCCAGAGGAATCTTGTGTACATTCATAATTTTCATGTTGACTGCATTATTTGGGATGTAACTGGTTAATTGATGCCCAACCAGAGTAGCCCCTGCCCGAGCTGCAGCAGGCTTGTCCCGGCCGGGCTCACTGCGCCATACGTGACAGCTGCTCCAGCAACATCCCACGCGTACTGCGCTGTGGTGGGCAGTTAACTGGTTAAAAACACCGTTTAATGGGTTAACATTTTAAATGGGATTTTACATCCCTAGACTGCATTTTATAGTTGAATTCACTGGTGAGTCAATTTTCAAGTATCTCGATAATTAATATGAAGATGGATTAATAAGGAAATGTTAATAAGACGTAAGTGTGCATGAGGAAGTGTTATTTATTCCTTCATATAACACAAGAACCAGGGTCAGCCAATGAAATTAATAGGCAGCAGGTTTAAAACAAAAAGTACTTCATCATGTAACACACAGTCAACCTTGAAACTCCTTGCCACTGGGGATGTTCTGAAAGACAAAACTGTAACTGTAACTGGGTTAAAAAAAGAATTAGATAAGTTCATGGAGGATAGGTCCATTAATGGCTATTAGCCACTATGGTCAAGGATGCAATCCCATGCTCTGGATGTCCCTAGTCTTTGTCTGTCAGAAGTGGGCAGTGGGTAACGCAGGATGGATCACACAATTCCATGTTCTGTTTATTCCCTCTGGATCACCTAGTATTGACCCCTGTTGGAAGACAGGTTACTGACCAAGGGTCTGACTTGATATGACTGTTTTTATGATTGCCTCCTTAAGACTTCCCTGTGAGTTTTGGGCAATAAGTACCTGATTTTTTCCCCCTTCCCCAGAAAGAGAATTCTGTTGGTTTTGGAAGTAGAAAACTGCTTTTGCATTAAGGTTACTACACTCCTACAGAGTGTAGGTAATTAGAACTTTGAACCTATTCAACTATTAAATGCAACACAATATCTACTTTGGGAGTGAATTGTATTTTTAAAAATATACCTGATTTTTAGAATATTGAACTATAACTAAGTTTATTTTTATAAATGTTCATTTTATATATTTTTAGAATTGTCTGTTTATGGTTTATCAGATATTTTGTCATATCCAAAGTGCTATGCTACACCTAAATTACTTGAATTAGGTTTGAAAATCAGTGTGTATTTAATAGCCGACTTCACCCTTTGCAGCACCAAACAATTTCTTCATAGAAATCTCCCTAACTTCTCTGTAGTTGTAAGCCACTTGTATTTTTCTCTTGCTCCCCATTCTGTTAATCTCAGTTCCACATATACTCAGTGGAACACTGTCACTTTGATCACATGCTGTTGTGAACACCTGCTATCAGTTTGGCATCTGTAACTATTTTCAGATCGCTTTGAGAGCTTCTGGGTTGGAAAGCTTTTATTTACAAAAAATAATAAAAGGGCTTTGTTGCTGAGAAAAAGGTAAGTCCTCCCCCTCTTCTTTCTTTTCAGGTTTCTTTTATGTAGCAAGTGGGCAAGTGGAGCCAACAGGGAGAGCTGGGCCAGTGGTTGGGAGTATGCTTTCTCCTACCACAGCTCCATTTCAAATCCATCCACCAATCCCACCGAAGCGATTTCTTAAGTGAGTTATTTCTAACCAAAGGATCAAGCTTTGTGCCAAAGCTTTAACAGCATTTCATCCCGTTCTCTTCCCATTTCAGTTATTCCTAAAAGATGGAATGCATAAAATGTGTAAGATTTGCTTAATGTATTAATTTCTGTGATTGTATATATGCCATATTCTCTTTATTCTTGCTCGAAAAATCATGCTGCAAAGTCAGGGGAAGCTTACAGGCAGTCCCCGGGTTACGTACAAGATAGGGACTGTAGGTTTGTTCTTAAGTCGAATTTGTATGTAAGTCGGAACTGGCGTCCAGATTCAGCCGCTCCTGAAACTGACCAGCGGCTGACTACAGGAAGCTCGAGGCAGAGTTGCTCTGCCCTGGGCTGCCTGGAATCAGCCGCTGATCAGTTTCAACAGCGGCTGAATCTGGACGCCTGGGACAGAGCAGCTGGGGCGCTGG